AATCTTCTCCCTCACCCCCAGGCTGCAGTCCTCGCTGCCAGTAGGTTCGGCTTTGTGCAGGCAGGTGTTTAAAGTAAGGGCTGAAAAGGGACCGAGGCCCTCATTTTTAGCTGGCCAAAAAAAAAATAATGATTCAACTGGACAAAGTTTATGCATTAAAAAGATGAGTATTTGGCTTGGTGCATTCTTGAGAGAAAAATACTGTTTCTTATGGAGAAAAAAGGCTTTCATTTGGGAAAAAGACCCAGATCCCCACAGCAAAAATATTTCGTGTTTGGTTCAAAGCTGAAAAAGTTTAATAGAAGTGTTTATGTTTTCATTTCCAGTATTATGATAAGACATTTTTCTGTAATAATTGGCTTGCTTTCCTTTTCCATTTTCCATGGAGGAGACTGATCCTGCCAGTCTGACCCAGCTCCCCTCTTCCTGGGCCCAATTAAGCTCCTGTACGAAGAGGCTCGTTTGTCTTAGCAGGACTCAGGCTCTGTACATCACAGTGGGACTTGGCCTGCTGCCTTGTTTGTTATGTGCTATAATTGAGATTTTCAAGCTGCCCAGTGGAGTCAGATGTTTGGGATATGTATTTTTTCTGAATACATGGCAGCAAAGGGATCATTTGCAAGACACAAATGCTTCCTTTGCAGTGAAGCCTATTTAGTCTCTGGCTTCTGATCAATTCTTTTATTCCCTTCTGTCCATCTGTAGAGATTTTTATATCACAAAATGGAGGGATGTGAACTTCACAATTAGAGGAGATTATTTTAAGGTGCAGCACCAAACAGGAATGCTAATAGCTTATGGTATTGCAAGTCAGTGCTTACTTCACTGGGGACTGAAGTGGTCATTTCTAGACTATACCCTGCACTATTCTGGAACTAAAAGCACCTGCTATTCAGGGTGGATTTTGGATGGTGCCGCTACCTGCCTCTACCACCCCTCCTTGACAAGGACATGCCACCAGCCACAGTGCCCACAGCTCTGGATGAAAGCCAGGGTTTCTCTTGCTGTCGTGGGCACAGTTTCCCCCATGGCTGTGGTGGGATCTGCCCTCTGGGTGCTGTGTGAGAGGTTTTTCCCAGCCTGTGCCATGGCTGAGCCAGAGCAGAGCCCCTCCTCTCTGCATCCCGGGCCTGATGGGGATTCATGCTCATTGCCCGGATTTGCAAAGCCAAATCCTACAGCTACTGCTGAAAAAGCATTGCTGTACTCCTGGCACACATCTGGCACCTGCAAAGGAGAGATGCAGTTCTGACCTGCAGCAAAGTGCTTCGCTTCCAACCGTGCATTGGCAATGCAGCCATCCAGAAAACCCCTTACAGGGGAGAAACAGCCTTTGTTTTGGTTCCTGCCGCAGTATGGCTAAGCTGGACCCCAGTTAGGTCTAGAGCATCTGATGGCATTCTTTGCTGTTACAATGGTGGGCGATTAACCTCCATCCATCCATTAGATTAATCTCATATGGTGTTAATTAATGGCATTGAGTAGTCTGAATAGTAATGGAAAAACATCTGTGGACAAGAAGGGTGGGAAGAGAACAAAGTCTGTTTAACTGCTACAGTATCCAGCAGATCCCTGTTCAGAACCCGGCCACATTTTGCAGTGATGGAGAAGTCAGCCGGGATATGAAAGGTAAAACCAGATGTGTAAAGATAGGCGATTTTTTTTCGTGTCAGAAATATAAGGCAGAAAAATATCAAAAGATTTCCAAGCATCCCAGGTTAAGTCGGGCTTGCCAGACAATACAGAAGAGCTTTCCTTCCTCAAAGAAATTAATTAAAGAGTTAGGAGATGCTGGAGCCCAGAGAACCAGTAAGGAGAGCCAACAGCAAATACAAGGAGTGACATTAAGAGGGAGCTGACATATAAAAGGTACTCTACCAAATACCTCCTGCTGGGAAAAAGGAAACCTCTGAGGTCTCTCTCCTGTCTCTTTCTCTCTCAGCGGTTTTCTCTGGGGACAGATGTCTTGCACGAGAAAGATCCTGTGCAGCAAGTTGCATGAAACAGCTGTGCCACCATTATAAAGTGTAATGCTGCCTAATGCTATTAATAGACATTTAATGAGCTCTCCAAATAGTTTCATATGCAGCAATTTCACATCATTGAAGACAATTAAATACAGCCTTCGCCTGAGAGTAGTTCATGTCAGGCTGCATCGTAATTCTGTTCCGTGTATTAGGGCAGAGCAGAGGTGATGCATCAGGCTGGATTATGCTACCTTCCAGGAAAGTCTAAGTGAATCAGTTGGGATTTCTCGAGTGTATTGGCCTGATTCTCAGTCCATGCCTGCTTTATTCTGTTTAGACATGATTGGACTGTCTAGATTAATTACAGGACCTAGATCTCTGTATTTTTTAGGTAATAGATGAATTTCAGCATGAAGCCAAGATGTCAAATGTCGATACTGCTGGGAAATGGGATGTGGCCAAGTGTAGGTACAGCATAGTTATCCCTGAGGTTGAAATGCCACCTTGAAGCATGGAAAAGTAGGTAAAAATCGTAACAAGCATCAAAAAGATCCTGAGTAGTCAAGGGGCCATATCGAACTCCAGTCTGAGAATATATTAATATAGGTTTCATCCATCCTTTATTCACCAGGCTGGAAAAATGGACTGTATTTCTAACCACTCTGAGTCTGCATCTCAGCAGAATGAGGTGACCATGCTGGGTCTCCACTCGGCAGCTTTTCTCGCACCAGAGCTGCTTTTGCACATCACTGCCTACAAGGCTGCCAGACTGCGTGGAGAGCTGCACGTGCTGGCAGAATCTAAGGGTGTCCCCTGTGGGGTCTTAGCAGCCACTGGGAGAGTGGTAGTTCATCCACAGAAAGCTCTGGCAAGGATTTATTTTATTTATCTTCATTAATGATTTCTGTAGAAACTGCTGACGTTGTGCTGGAATAGCAAAATCTTCAATCTGTCATTCAAAACCCAGCCTACTTTGGGTTTTCAGGGGTTATGCTTTGGAAGGTTTTGTTTTTTAAAGTTGTGGAGTTCATTGGAAGTGGACACTTTCTATAGACATTTTAATTGAGCTAACCCCCCTTTTTTTCACAAAAAGTATCTGTCAGAAGTCTTTCAGTAGTTCAGAAAGCACTGCCTGGGTAAATTTTACATCCAGCTTCTCAACCTACGTCAACCTATGTCTCTTAGCTGAAAGTCCTGGAGACATACCAGCAAAACCTGGAGTGACATAAGCTTTTGCTAGAATGATGTCCAAGTCACACAAATTTACATTCCCTCTAGGTTTTTTGGAACTCATCAACAAATTTGACCCACTGTACTTTTTTATCAGCAGCTTTGCAGGATGCCTGGGGAAACTTTTTTAGTCCAGGTGCACAGTCTGTGCATCTAGCTAGATGGCCATGATGAGAAGTTTAATCATCTTTAACATGCCCACGAGGAAAATTCTTCTGAGCAAGTACAATGCTGGAAGGATTTTTGAATCCCACAACTCTTTGTCTCCAGCCCCAGAAATGTGGAATCGGTCTGGTTGAACACGAATCAAAGTTGGACATTTATTCATCGCGACGTGTGTATGCAGCTGCCGGTGGTGGCAGTAAGCAAACAGCCGTGGGCCAGGAGGGCAGAAGATGCCCCGTGGAGGTACCCAGCCAACCCACCACTGCGGGAAGAGCAGGAGCACCGTCTCCAGCTACAGTCCCCTCCACTCTGTAGCATGCTACAAAAGAAACGCAGCTTTGCCCACATTCCCGCCTCCAAAAATAACATTTCTAACTGTGTTTCTGGCTTTCCTTTTAGGTATGTCTCCATCCACTCTCTGTAGTTTTGTTTCATCTGCTTCTTCAGGCATTTCTGCGGTAGGAGGGGACCGGAGACCCAGACCCACCACAGTGACCACAGTGCACACAGGGAGCAAGTGAGAGCCCGGTCGGCGAGGAGCGGGCAGGCAGCTGGGCTGGCAGGTTGCCTCTGCGCGATCCCACCCTGCGGTGCACGCTCAGCGAAGGACTAGAAGAAAGAAGATTTTTTATGGCCATATTTTATACTGCAATTCTGAAAAGTTTCATTTATCACAAACTGCAATGACTCCAGGGGGAATGGATCTAACAGTCTCTGGTGCTGTACATATATATATAAATATATATATATGTGAGTCTAGCAATGTTCTAACTAATGAACACTCATTCTTTTCCCCAGTGATTTACTCCTTTCTCAGCTGAGGCAAACAGTATATGTTGTATTTTTTTTTCCATTAATTGCAAACATCTCAACTGGATTATTTAAATAGAGATACTTTTCTGAGCATTAGAATTTTTTTTTCTTTTAAAAAGTACTTCCAGCAATGTCCTTCCTTCCAGTTTGCTAGGGGATAGGTTATTTCTGTAGGTAGGTTAACTTTGCAACACGGGAGGATTTCAATGGCATGCCATTTCTCTCCCCTCAAATGGGACTGCAAGTCTGTCTGGCTTTAGCAGAGCTGTTACTGCTCAGATTAAGAAACTGCTGCTTTTCCTGCCCTCCTCCTCCTTGAAAGCCATGGCGAGGCCATGCTGTCCTTGGCCTCTTTCCTGTAGTGCTGGGGATCTGCAGTACCCTTGTTTCAGAGGAAAGGCATCTACACGGTGCCAGTCAGGAGCTGGCCAGAGCTGAGCAAACAAAAAGACAGAGCACAGTCTCATCCTGCAGCTCTTAATTTCCTTCGAGTCGCTGTGTGCTACGAGCAGAGTGAAAGAAAACAAAGACGCAGGACCAGGAGTCATAGTCATCCTCTGCCACTGCCTCGTTGTGCTGCCCTCGAGCAGGACATGTAATTCACCAGCCTCCTCCCAGCCTGGCCTCTGGCACGGGGTGCATCCAGCCCGAGGGCTCTGTGCCAGAGGTGCTGAGCACCCACCACTCCTCAGGGCTTTGCCTGTCGTTGCTGATGCTCAACACCTCCCAGAGTGGCCAAAACTGAGTATCGGAAGCCAAGTAGAAAAGTTTGGATGTTAATCTCTGTGTGCCTGGGTTTCACCCCCTGGGAGAGGGGTGGTGCTTGCACCCCTCTGTGAAGCACAGGCAGGTTCTTGGGTACAAAGTACAAGAGCTGGTGCAGCGCTGCTCCATCACGCTTAGCTCCGGACGAGGACTGCCAAGGTGCGCTGAGCTGGGAAAGCAGGGCCTTGCCAAAAGGCATGGGCACATGCAGGTCTGGGGCAGCACTGCCTCCCCCTTCTCCCCAGAAGCTCATATACAAGAGCAAGCTCAATTCCCCCATTTTTTCAGTTACTAAATAAATCCACTTCCCAGGCTCCATGTGCTGGTGCATTGTTTAGGAACAGCCGCTGTGACTGTTGTGCAACCATGCATCAAAGCAACTTAGAATAGGAGAGCAAATCTGCCAAGATTTGCTGAAGGGCTCCAGGTTACCTCTACACTATTCCCAGCTGTGACTTTCCTTTGAGGAGGAGAGAAGGGAGGCAGGCGACAGACGCAGGCATCCTTTGCCAGTCACTGTGAGCCTCTCACACCCCGGACAGGTCCATCCCCACCCAGAGGCACAAGCCATTCCCCACAGCATGCTTTATTGCCACGCTGGCCTCATTTATCCTGCACAAGAAATTCTGAAAGCCAGTCAAGACACACCTGAATGTATCAGGCAACAGTGACTGTGCTGGGAAAAGCCATAAGAGATATATTTTTCATTGAGACTTCAAAATCCTGCTTCAGCTTCTGTCGGTTGGCTTCAACCAGCAGAAGTGGGATTTCACCCATCATATTCTGAGCACTAAATGCTGGAAAAGCAGGTAGCAGTGAGCATTGACTCTGAAATAGCCTCTCCTATGGTGGCATTTAAAGCTGTTGCACCCAAGAAGTCTCTAGTTTCCTTGGTATTAAGCTGCTCCCCATTTTCAGAGGGTTGTGGCACATCTGAGTGAGCTCCTGGGAGCCCCTGGTGCCCTCCACCGTGTTGCAGCTGGCACAGATGTTCATGCAGAAGGGCTTCAACTTCAACTTCTCATTTTAGGAAAGATGCCAGATAGTGGTCTCTTGGGGAGTGGTAGCAAAACTCCATATAATTTCTCCGGTGAGGACTACTGACTGAGATCTGGGCCAACCAAAGGGCAAGGGATCTCCTTGCTGCAAGTTACGCTCCTGTCCCCATCCCCAGGCCACTGCCACCCCATATTTCTGCCCCACTGACAAAGAGTAGGAAGAGCTTTATCAGTGTTTATCCTCGGGGCTTTTTATGTTTTGCTGCAAAGGTGTCTGAAAATGAGTATAGTACAATTTAGACACATTCTAAGCCAACTTCATTTCACCAGCCTGATTAAGGAAGCTTTAGTTTAGGAGAGGCTCCTATCCCAAGAAATTCACGTAATTTTGAACCCACATAAGCACAGCTGGCCTATTCTGCTCCAGTTGCATGGGTGTTAACAGGTAGTCCCCTGGTTTGGAGTCAGTGGAGTCACCCCCATTTACAAGCGTGCAACCAAAAGCAGGGTTTGGTTAGGGAATGTTTTTGTCTTTGTAGTTGTTTCAAAGATTAGGGCTCAGTGTTCCCTCTTTGCCTCCTCTTCTGAAACCTGAGGTCCAGTTTGAACTTGATGTAGTTGCTGAGGCCACTAGTCAAAGTGCAGCATCCAAATGTATCTTGCAGAAAAAAAGAAAAGCAAATGGATTTCTATCTGCAAAATAAAGAGCAGTGACGGGAGCAAAGGCAGACATGCTGTCCTGCAGCTGGGGGTCGGTTCCCATAGGCTGCCCCTCCTCGCTGGATGCTTTATGTGTTTTTTGTTGGGAGGGGTATTCTTTCCTTCCACACTTGGAATTAGGGTGGTTTGTTTTCCTTCCTGGAAATGGTATTCTGCTGTAGTTGTGTAATTTATTGTCATTCTCTTTGGCTTGCTGTCAACTGCTGGGATCTTAAGACAAGAAACAGAAGCACTTAAAAGCAAAGTAGTTTCTTTCTTCTACGATTTTGGGTGGTGGGAAGCTCTTCTGTGAAACACAGCTGGAGACCTGACCGGGGGTTCACCACATGCTTAGAGATCTCTCTTGTCATTGAGTCCTGAAGTATCTCTTGACTGTAACTTCTCAGTTTAAATCTGGGTAAATCCATTAACCAGGATGACTTGGCAGCACCCAGGCCACATTTACAGAAGGGGTGGGAGCTGTTTGCCCCTTGGCAGCAAGGTCTGGGTACGCAAACACTCCGGCATCGCTTGCTGGGGATGCTCCAGTGCCCTTCCGTGTCCTTCCCCTGCCCCCGTCTCCCTCCCCCTGCCCCCGTCTCTCTGGCTCCCCAGCCACTCTCACAAATGAATGCAAAGACGGGAGTAAACAGTGTGTGCATGTGGGGAAAGGGCTTATAGCCCTGAAGTAGAAGATTTAAAACAAATCCCCAAATGGCCTTGCCATGAAGGAGCAAGTAGAAAAATCTCTCTGGGCTCTTTCCCAAAGGACCGTCCTAATAACAATGTGTGATTTGCTCTTCGCATGAGGACTTCAGCCTGAGCTCACCTGTCTGTTACCCTTTTCTGCTTTACTTTACTGGCACCGATGTGTTTTTGCTTTGTAACTTGTTTTCCTCAGCTCCTTCCCCTTCTTTTTCTTTGCTTGCAGCTTTGATTGTTGATTTTTACCTCCAGAGTCACAGAGGCCATCTCTGATGCCAACAGCAGTGCTCTTGCTGGGAACACAAAACAAAACAAAAAATCCAGAAAACCTCCAGCTGGCCCCTTAGCCTGCAGAAGAAGTTGTGAGGACAGGCTGCCCATGAACTCTGCGAGCTGAAAGTCAGTGTTGCAGTGGCAGGGGCTTCCGCTGCTGATTTTGCATGTGACTTCATTCCCAGTGCATCCTAACTTTCTGCTGGATCACCCCCTCTGCAGCACGAAATGGATATTGGCCCCGCAGCACAGCTAGTGGGGAAGTAGGAGCACGGGGAAAACTTGGCAGTGATGCTTTCCTGAGACTGTGTTACTCTGCTGGTGATGTCTCTTCTGTCCTGGTTGCTATTGTACAGGTGCCATTAGAGTAGTGGGTGCAGAAAAAAAAGTAGGATTTTACCTATGCCGTTTGTGTCTGTTATGGTTGTGGTGCTGAAATAAAACCAAGCAATGATAGAGGTTTGTTCCTGATATGAATCAAACCACAAAAAGGGGTGTCACCCCCCTGGTAGACATCTCCATGTAGTTCTGCAGTAGGCATTAGAGAAGGGTTTCCGCTGTGCGTGTGTCCTGCATACCTCCATGGCTATTGACAGTATTTTTTCTATAACAAGTTCTGGGCCCCTGCCTGGCCCTGAGGGACTCTGGGGCTTGTCCAAAGCTTTTCACAGCCCCAGGAGCCAACACAGCCCCTGACCTCTGGCTTTTCTCCCCAAACCCTCTGCAAACCAGAGCATGGACCTCCAAGGTGCCCAAGAAATGCAGTGGCAGCCAGCCCTAAGGCTGCCCCTTCCTTAAGTGTGACCCTCTTTTTAGTGAAATAAGCCCCCAGGGGAAAGCCAGATAGCTTTTAGTTGTTGGTGAGCAGGGACAATACTGTCCATTGATGTGAACTTGGCTTTAACTACATTGGATATAGGGTAACCTGTGTTATTATTTCCCTCTGTGATAAAAGCTGCAGACCAGAGCAGCACTAGGTGAGCACTGCATAAAAATATGAGATTGATTTTGCCAACAAATTGGTGTAGACTGTAGCCTATTGCTTTTACTCTTTCCAAAGAGTCAGGGGATTCATGGACTGGCAAAATAAGTTTCAAGGCTGAGCCCTGAGGTACAGAAGTATCATCCTTTATGTGCATGGAAATTCCCATTTAATGGTATTACTTGCATTCTTGCTCCCATGCATATTTATCCATCTGAATTGGGGCCTGAATGCATCCCAGAAATTATTCACAGGAAGAGAGTTTTGCCTTCGTTATCATGCTTATTTGCACCAGAAACTTGATGCTAAGAATCATGCTCATCCAAGCAAAAAGCGGAAACACACATGGAGACTACAGTATCCAAGGAAAACGGCATCAAAACCGAGCACGGAGGATTAGTTGGGAAATCACTGTGATCAATGGGTGAGTGAGGAAACAACAACCTGCTCACAAACGTTGCACGAACAGAGTTTCCCCTGGTAAATTAGTCATTCCGGATTTCTTGCTTAGCAGCAAGTTTTACATCATCCCTTTCAGTTTTCCCTGCATCCCTGCAGCTGGGTCCTGCCTTCCCATCCTGCCTGCTGGGGTGGTCCTGTCTCCGTGACACACGTGTGTGCACACACACATATGTGCCTGTTGCGGCCCCAGGAATCACAGATCCCACCAGTGGGAGATGAGGAGTTGGTTCAGGTTTTTTGGTCTGACTTGGCGCAGTTGGGTCAAAGCTGTGTAAATAGTTTTTGTAACAGAGGATTATGGCTCTTTATCCCAGACTCTGGTTTTCAAGACCCCTTCCCCACCACGAGCCGTGCCACTGGTCTGTCCAGGTAGCTATTTTTCTCCTCCTCTTCATAAATGATAAGGTCATAAGAACAGCTCTTACATTTTTTCCACACGCCAGAGCTGAATCAGGGCATGTACGCTCGCAAGCGTTGTGAAAAAACACTGCTGAACTAATGATGACATCAAATGTCCAATAAATGCATGATACTGCACTGCATGTATTAAACTGCTGTTCACTGTTTCTGTATTTCCCAAGCCTTTTCTTTATGCACATTCAACCCAACCTTTTCTTCGAGGGGTTTCTTCTACGTTTTGCTTTTAAATGACTCAATGTATCTGTAACTCTAAATCCATCGTTAAGTTTGAGTAAATGCAAAAGCTGATGTTTTGTAAACAAGATCCTGCAAAGCCTGGTAATGTAGTTTGTCTTTCTGTTGAATGCTCTGCAGCATGTACAGGAAGAGTCACCATCCAGAGCACCTTAAAACTATGCAGCAGTCACACACACTTGTCTAGAAACAGGGAGTCGGGGAGGGGAGGGTCCCTTTTTGAATACAATGCTTAAAAATTTGATCTTCGTCAAAAATTCCTTCCCTGGATTGCTAATGCTCAGGACTACCAAGAAACATACTGGTGTGTCTCTGTTTTTTCTTTTTTCTTTTGGTTTGCTTTTCTTAGTCCAATTGTAGACTGGTTCACTCAATTCTTAGTATTTTTCTCTTCCTACAAGATATTTCTTTCTCACCTATTGCAGATTGAACTGCATTTTGGGGACCAAGATGGTGTGATTATTTGCCTGCACAAAACAGGGCAGAGAGCTGAGCTAATTATCCCATCCTTTCCAAAGCATCACCACCTAAATACTTGCATTCACACTTGAACCTCCACACAGTACCGCCATTTATCTATAGAAGAATTTGGTGTGGGTCTTTTCCTTCTTCTAAATGGAAATCAGGCCCTTGCCTTCTCTTCCCTTAGTCATTGACCTATATTCATTTGTGCTGGTCTTTCTAGGAAGGGTGCAGGATGGTACTTGTAGTAGCTCCGGCCCAATCCTCTTGTGGGCATCAGCAGGGCATTGGTCCCAGCTCCTGAGTGGTTGCCGTGTTGGTGTGGAAGATCCTCAAGTTCTCAACACTCAGAGCAGAGCCATCTGAAAGGGCTATGATATTGCTCTGGGTTCCTGGCAAGGACATGCAAAGCAGCGGGGCTACAGATAAAGCACCGTGCTGGTGGTGTAGGGAGCAAGTATCAGCCCTTGGAAATCATGCAAGGGACCTGCTTCGTGGTGGCTGAAAGCACTAAGAAGTGTCGAGCCCACCTTCAAGGCTCGTGCTCAGCCAGGATGCTGTGCCATTGCTGAAGCGCTACATGGCCACATAAAAAATCATCATTAATAATGGTTATAAATCAGCCTGAGTTCAGATTGCTGAGGCAGCACAAGGTGCTGAGGAGTTGGACATGCGCTGTGGTTCCTGGTGGGTGGGAGCTCCAAGGGTGGTTGCTCAGGGTATTTCCAAGCTTCTCCATCGCTCATCTGCATTCCCTGAGCCCAGCATGGCATCACGCATGCTGTGTCTTACTAGATCAAGCTGTAGCATGACCCCCAGAGTGAAGAGCGTGGAAGCTTATAGCTCAGTGGGAGATACGGTGTGACTCATGTTTCTGGTCAACGCAATGTCAGCATCGTGTTGTACATTGTCCTCGAACTGAGAAACAGCATTTTGGTCAGTTTGGGCCTTTTTTTAGATAGTCATTTCATCTGGGTCAGCAAACAATGAAAGAAAAGCCCAGTCTGCCCAGAGTAGTTACTCCCCAAATATCCCCAACTGCAAAACATCTCTCAGTTGACTTTTACAGAAATGCAAGCATGTTTTCTACAAAGGCTTAAATCTTAATCAAGGAATGTCAGTGTGCCTATTATTGCAGGTCTTGTGATTGATACAAGTTCATAACAGCATCCATGTCCAAAAAGAAGGGAGAATGTGTATTTACTCCATGCATGTATTAAGGCATTGCAAAAGTTTTATCTGCATAATGAGTTTGCAATACTGCAAATTGTTAATGGGGCTACGTTGCAAGTGGTTCTCTGCCTTGACAATCATGTATACATATCGAGATTTCTATCATAATGACAATTTAAAGGGATGACTAATTGTTTTCCTCCAATAAATCCAATTAAATCACCCTGACTTGAGGTCTGATGATTTTAAGTGCATGAGCTTCCACCCATGTGCAAGAAAGGGAGTGAATAATTTCTATGGCTGCTGCGCTGCTCTGTTGTGTTTTATACAACGATGTCCCTTTATGTCCCAAAGGAAGACAGAGAGATCTTTTCCTCCCCAATTCACTCCATAGAGAAATGGATAAAAAGGATGATTTGTCCTTCAGGTGTTTCCTAAAGCTGCTGTTGGGAGTGATGCTGAGTGTCAACATACAGAGACATGACTGTCTCCTGGGGGCTGAGAAGATCTGTGTGGGGCTGGGCGAAGGAGATGCAGTTGTTGGAGACTGCTGCCCCTTTGAGCTGGTCCTGGTGATTTACTTGTGGTGGGAATCATGAAAGGACACATGACTTTTGGTAGTGTTTCTGAGTCCTTCTGCAGTCAGCAGTGTCCTCCAAAGGCTGTTGTGTGCGCTTCATCATTGAATTCCTTTTCCTCCAGACCATGTTCCCAGGGTGTATTATTAATTTTTCCCACTTTCATTTCTGCTGTACTGGCTTTCACTCACTGGCACACAAGAATATCCTCCTCTTTAAAAATAGTTGGCAAAATCACTACACCCAGACAAGAGTTGTTGGAGACCCAGCAGAAAGGTGGACCCATGCTTGAGGTCATAGACAGGTGGTTTTAGGCATCTGGTTCAATAAGAAAGCTGAAATGAACAGCAGTGATAACGGACAACTCATAGCAATATAAAGAGAAAGGCAAATTACTTAAATAGCTTTATATTGTGAATGAAGAAACAACCACCAGAACCAATCTGATTACTACTTCAAAGCTGTGGTATGCAACTGTGGCCACAGAAGTAGGTTTAGATGGTGAGCTGTACCAAGAGAGATGACATGACCTTCCATTTATGCTCTGGACAAGCACATCCATAGGAAGCTACAGCTTGGAAAAGTACATCCATGTACAAAAATGGCGTCAGGGAGTGGGTTGGAGGCAGAGTGTGTCACTGAGGCACAGACACACGATTTGCAGTGTCAGGAGTAGTAGATCCTGTAGAAAGACTCCACAGTCTTCCCATATGAGCCAAGCCTGAACTCTATCCACCCCTTCACATTCAGGACCATGGTGCCACCTGTGCAAGTTAGCTCTCCTGGTTTGGCTCAAATTCTGCAGACTTACGGTAGTTAAAGGCCTGTCCCACATTTCACGATGAAATTAAAATCTTAGCCAGGAAAACCTTCTTCTCATGTCTTCATTTCAAAATCAGAGGTTCCTCTGTAGGCTCAGTGGTCACCCAGTGTGCACTAAGCCTTTCCTGGCTCCCAGTGAGATGGGACAGATCACCACAGAACCACTGAAATCCTGATGCTATAAGATGGATTTTCAATGTCATGTCAGTATTTAGTTGATCTTTGTAAGTTTTCTTCACAGT